CCCCCTCGCAGCAGCTCCTGGTCACTGCATCAAGTCAAGAACTGAGCAACGGAAGGGCCCCTCTGTCCCCGCCCCACAAAGAGGGTCACAATGGGGTCATAGGTCAGGTCGGCGTTATAGGTCATGTAGGAGTCATCCGCAGCCCGCTGGAGCGCCATAGAGCCTCCGGGGCTGAGCAGCAGGAACTAAACGGGACCAGCTTAGACCAGCGGGGGGGGGAAGACAGGGAGGTGAGCCGGCAGTCAGTGCTGGTGAGGAAGGGGGCTGCTGAGGGGGAGACGATGACAGCAGCAGCCAGCGCTCCTGCAGCCATGGACACTCTGACAACCAGGAACCAGCCGCTGCCATCCCGGAAATCTGTTCCTCTGCCTGACGCTGCAGAGAGCCCCTCCTCACTGTCCCTGCCCTCAGAGGACCCTCAGGGACACACTGCAGAGGACCAGGGTCAACAAGTAACTGAGGAGCAGCTACACAGGGAGAGGAATACTGGACACAGCAGTGAGGAGAGGGAGGAGGGGGGGAGTGTGTCTGGGTGCCCTGTGGAAGAAGGAGGAAGTAAAGATGACCAGGAAGATAAAATCACTTTAGCAAAGGTGGAGGCAGAACCAGAGAGCAGCTCTCCAACTCTTAGAAAAGTTGACCAGGAGGAGAAAAAGGAGCAGCAGGGAGGGGGGTTCAATTGTGGGACGGCTGCCCAGGTCAGGGTGAAGGACACTGGGCTTGCATCAGGGGAGAGGCAGGGTCCCCTGGAGGAAGCCTCCTCTGAGCTCCAGAAAGAAGGAATCAGGCTGAAGATCAAGATCCCCCCCCATCGCAGGAGCAAGCTAAGGGGGAAAGGGGGAAAGGAGGGGCAGAAAGAGAGGGGGGAGGAGGAGGAGCCAGATGAAGGGAGGATGCTCAGGAGATCCTCCAGGATCTGCAGGTACGTGTTGAATACCCTCCATAAAGGTGTGGGTTTGATTAGAAGGGTGGTCCGACCTGATGAATCCCATTCCCTGTCTGTTTTAGAGCTATACATATAATACAGCTTGCCTCACTTTTCTTACATGGAAGAACAGTTGTACACAAAAGTCTGCATGTTACAGTCTCTATGAACGTGTGCTCGTGTCTGCCCCACGCCCCTGACAGCGGGTTACATACATGTGTTGCATTACTTTGATGTAGCACACTGCGCTCACTAGCGATCCCTTTCTAAATCTCCAGAATGAACTTGCTGCTTGTTTTTCATATCAGATACAACTAGTTTGATTTTGACAATAAATTCAGTCCATTTCTACTTTTCTTCTTGAAGATCATCTGCTTTGCCAAACTGCAGGCCAAGCTCCAAGGCTTCTGAGAGCCAGAGAAAGAAGCCTAAACAAACACAGGCACTCTCTGATAGAATGGGGGAGGAAGATGAAGAGGAGCAGAGCTTAACGACAAAGAAAGAGGGAAAAAAGGAACCTGTTGGGCAAATAAGGAAACAACGGGTAATCATTTTCATGTGCTTTGTGAGAATGAACATCAACTTGGGTTTTCTTTGCCGGTTTTCATTTGTTGAATTCTCTCCTTCATGTTCAGGGTAAGCGGAGGCACCGGCGCCCCCGCTGGTCCAACGTCCGTGTTAAGAGACGCAAACTGAACGATGAGGAGGAGGTGGAGGACCGAGGGAGGAAACGAGGAGAGGAGGAGGAGGACCAAGGGAGGAAACGAGGAGAGGAGGAGAGTGAAGAAGGGAGTGATTCTGAAGAATTGTGTAAATCACAGGAGCTTCCCAGTGAGGACGCCTGCAGTCACTGCGGACTGCCCAACCACCCGGAACTGGTGAGGGGGTCTCAGAGGGGGTCTCAGAGTCACAGAGGGGGTCTCAGAGTCACAGAGGGGGTCACGGAGTCACAGAGGGGGTCACGGAGTCTCAGAGAGGGTCTCAGAGGGGGTTCAGTGTCACATTAGTGAGGCCCTGTGCTCTGCATAAAGAGAACACGTAGTAAAACTGCATGAAACAATATTTAACACTATAAATACACAAGTTGCCTGGAGTTTGAAATCCCTGTCTATAAAGTAGACCAACATGAAAAGCCTGAAGAGTAATGCATGTGCATGAAGCAGATCAGCGAATGGTCCCATTGGAGAGGCTGTCAACAGAAAAAGTCGGCCATCTTTGATGGATATATGATGATGATGATGATGATGATGATGATGATGATGGATCGTCTCTACGTCTCTGCAGACTGATGAAGGGCTGGATCCAGGGTAACTTCCAGCACTGGCTCCAGTGTTATTAGGCCGTGTGAAGGCCTGGCTGTTTGTTCTTCAACAAAGTGAAATAGAACAATTGAAATGAATTTGAATCCAATCCACACTCATTTGCTACACATGTCTACAGCACCACACGCAGTGAAATGTAGCCACAGCATTTACCCATCATAGTATTAAGAGTAGTTTATATAGTGGTTTATATCAATGCAAAGAGTTGTCCCTGAAGGATTTTACTGTGTGTGTGTGTGTGTGTGTGTGTGTGTGTGTGTGTGTGTGTGTGTGTGTGTGTGTGTGTGTGTGTGTGTGTGTGTGTGTGTGTGTGTGTGTGTGTGTGAGAGAGAGAGAGAGAGTGTGTGTGTGTGTGTGTGTGTGTGTGTGTGTGTGTGTGTGTGTGTGTGTGTGTGTGTGTGTGTGTGTGTGTGTGTGTGTGTGTGTGTGTGTGTGTGTGTCCTCAGATCCTGCTGTGTGACTCCTGTGACAGTGGGTACCACACCGCTTGTCTGCGGCCGCCGCTCATGTTGATTCCAGACGGACAGTGGTTCTGTCCACCCTGCCAACATGTAAGCTGTGTGTGATTTCCATGCTGTTTTTGATTATTGATCAGGTTTTGGTGGTATATGAATACCGTGAAAGTATTTAAAGTAGGGCTGTCAGTCGATACAAATATTTAATCGCATTATGTCCATAGTTAATCGCACATTTTTTACCTGTTCTAAATGTACCTTAGAGGAATATTTTTCAAGTTTTTAATACTCTTATCAACATATGAGTGGACAAATATGCTTTATACAAATGTTTGTTTATTATCATTGAACAATGACAATATTCTCCTGAATATTCTCAATACACAACCTGGAACCTCTCTCTCTCTTACTCTCTCTCCTAACCCTGTGTACTTCTCTGCACTGAGCCAGTTGCTCAAACAGACAAGCCTGTTTACAGTTGTCGGCGAAATGCCGCTCCTCTGTCTTCATACCAGTCAAAGCATGAGACT